ACTCAGTCTAACAAAGAAAAGGAATTTTTTTCTTGCCTGCTCATCTGTTTTCTCTGGTGGACAAATTCATATCTTAACTTTCCAGAGTACCATGGGACAATTGTCCAGCTTTGTAGCTGTTCATACCATCCTGTTCATGTTTCTGTGCTTTGTTTGCACCTTGCTAAAAAATTTACGTACTGTTTTTTTGCTTAAACCACTCTTATTTCAATCAGGGGCATTTAACCTTCCTTTTTGGAAAAGTTTTTTACTTCAATTTCTGTAATAATGTACCTAAAAAAGAAACAATAAGAGTGAAGGTTTTCAAGTATGGTACTGCAGAAAGTCTACTATTTCACTAGTACTGAAGACTATTTTCAGGATGAACTAACAAACTTATCGAGGCAAAACCTGACTTATCCACTACAGAAGAAAGAAAGGAAAAAACCAAACCAAACAAACCCACCAACAGCAACAGCAACCAGAAAAACCCCAAAACAAAACCAAACAAACAAACAAAAAGGAAAGAAAGGAAACCTAGTTAAGCTCATAACTGTAGTGATACCAAAAACTTTTAGACTTCGAAAGCCTGTACCTGAGTTTGAGTTATGATTTGAGAAGTGTTTTTTAAAAATGGCAGAAAACCCCATGCTTCTTGTTTCCTGGGGATTATTTATGAAATATGCTTAATTTAAACAAATCATGTATTAAAAAATCCCAGGGTCCAGCTCTCCAATTTTGTTCTGAGATTGGAGAGCTAAACTGCATGATCTCCTGCAGGAAGTTATTGAAACTGCTGAATGATCTTGTTGCAAAGTGATGCCCTCCTACGGGATAAAAAGATATAATTCAGTAAGACGTGTAACAATATATAATAACATATCACAAGGGGAAATATATCCAGGCATAATGTGTCTTGGCTCTACAGGGTTACTGGGGGAGGCAGGAAATAAATTTTCTTTCAAATACAGGGTAGAAGTTGCAACGTCCTAAAACTGGTAGAGAATAGACTTACTGGGTGCACTATCACTTTTGTGACTTTTTCATGCTACAGTCACAGTTCTCCAACTTAAGTAACTTTGTTTTATCTATCTAGATAAATAAGGTTTTATTTTGTTACAGTTTGGAAGTAAGGGGATTCTTTGCTTCTTTCCATGTTTGCTTGGGGGTATTGAGAGTTGAGATTTGCTACTGCTATTGTTTCAGGATGTGTGTTGTTCTTTGGGATTTTTTCCCGATGAAGGAGATCAAAATGGACAGCAAGGCGTGCCAGCATGGATCAGGAAGGGGACATCCTGAAACGAGAAGCCCGCAAAGTATGTAAAACAATGTGCTTCATGTTAGACTTTTCTAAATGTGCTTCATCACAGCAGTGCTGAGTGTTCTGGCTGGCAGTTCATCTTGAGCTATCTTTGAAATTTAAGTGATGTACATGATCCTTAAATATGGAACAGTTGGGTACATCAGTTACTGACTGATCACAAAACCCAAAGAAAACATATAATTTATCTTCAATAAATTTTTGTCAAGTAACATAAAACAGCAAAAGTTATCTGTAGAATAGGAGTATAAATCCATAGTCTTCATCAGATTTCCATTGGTAGAATTTTCTGGAGAGGGGCAAATAATTAAAACATAATTTGTTATTTTCTTAGCATGTTCATTTTTATCCCTTATAGATATGCAATAATTTATACTGTATTTTTAAGCACTAAAGGTGATAGCCAAAAAAGTTCTGGAACAGTTAGTTTTGAACAGTTTTCTAATTTTTTTTATCAAGAGTTAAGAAAATATATAATTAAAATTATTCCAGTCTATCAAAGACTCAGGTAAATGAGACATAGTTGCATACTGGAAATGGTAGGAAAGGAAACAGATACCTGATGCAATAAATGTATTTTGTAATTCTGTACTGAGTTACAAATTATTATAAATATGTTACTAAAAAAAAATCACAGGCTGCAAAGACAGAAATACAAACCCACAAGTTCAGGAATATCACAGGTGTTTGGTGTACATAGTATTGTATGTACTTTTAAAGAAAGAGTTTGCCTAATCCCAGCCTGCTAAAATATTCACAATCCACACAAAATGGCAATTAAAAGGCAACAGAGAGAGAACACTCATGAAGGGAAACTCCACAATCATAATAGTCACCAGAAGGCAAATTTACTGCCCTGTCTGCAGATAAATGCATAAATAACATGACTATAGTTCAGAATATGAAGAAACAAGAAAGATTATGGCACACTGCAGTTTTCTCTATTTGATTTTCCCTTGGCATGTTAGTTACATTGTGAACTCCTTACAGTGTAGGAAGTAGGAGCTCATGTCTCTTAAAATACTGTATGCAGCTCTGAACACGATGACTTTTCAAGTCATTTGAAAATGACAGGCTGCAATACAAATAATAAACAATTTTCTTCTGCTTTACAGTCATTGTTTATATGTCCACAGTTACAAACATTGCATAATCATTGACTGATCTTTGTTGCTGAAGATATTTATTGCATCACTTTCATTCCTGTGCCCACTCAGGATACTCAAGATTCATATTTTAGCACGTCCAGTTTGTCGATGGAGGTGAACTTAAGAGATACCTCATAGTTTGGCTTTTTAACTGAGTTCTAACTGACGTGCTGCTTACAAGCTTCAGCTAAGGGAGTTACAGATCTGCATGCTACTGCCTTGCTGATACTGTGTGTCAGGGGTTTTTCCTGTGTTTCACATCTGCAGTAAACATCTGGGTTCAAAGCAAAAGCCAAGTCTTCTGGGGTCTCCAACCTGCGAAGAGATTCTGTGCCTAGAGTGCACTCGAGCCTCAGGGAAGGGACTGTCACAGGGAAAGAGAAAATAGAGAGTGGTTGAGCAGAAAGCTTAGGTAGCACAGTTGGAGGGGAAGGCTTTCAGTTCTCTCATTGAAACCGGTACCTCTCTGAGTGGCCTCGTCTGGGCGTGTGCATCTGGCAAGGGTGTTTCAAAGGTTTCAGTTGGTGTGGCGAGTTCTGAATGAAGCCTCCGGAGCTGGAGTGGTTCGAGTTTCGGTCGGATTTTCAAAGAGGTCCATTGTAAACGAGAGTTACCAAGCGTTTCCATGCGTCCTGTACAGCCACGCTGTAGATGAGCGAGGCAGGGACCCGCGGAGCCCCAGGGTCGGCTGCTTTCCCCCTGCGGCCGGCGGGGCCGGGACGAACAGAGAGCGGCCAGTCCAGGCTCGGAGCAGCCTCAGCGGCGGCGGGCGGGCTCCGCGCAAGGCTCGGTGCAGTGTCTGGGCTTGAGACACAGCGACACCCAGAGGGGCCGCGGGGCAGGAGCGGGGCCGAGCTCGGGTGCTTCACTGTCGGCACGTTCCTGCCCGGCCGGGAGGGAGCGAGGGGGCTGCGCACCCGCCCGGGGCCGTGCGGGGCTGTTCCCTGATCCCCGGCCGTGCCGCTCCCCCGCGGGGCCGGGCGCTGTCCGCGGTGCTGAGCGGGGCGCACAGGGGCGGGAGGCGCCGCCGGGCAGCTCGGGGGACCCGAACGAGTCGTATTTCCAGCGTGCCACGGAAAACTCACTGGCCTTCATTGTCTGGCTCCTTCCCTTGGCGGGCTTCAGATTCTACGAGGATGTAAATATTCATGGTAAACCATGGCTGTTTGCTCCAGACACACGCGCTTCTGGAAAGCCAGAAGGGAAGGAGTAAGAGCCCGTGCTATCTGCCTGCCGGGCAAAGACCAGGCCGGGTCGCGTCTCGCAGTGACTGATGGCTTAGGAGTTCTTTGCGTGATCTCTCATTGACTTTTTGTACTGCAATCCTGCCACGATTTCCTATGACTGTTTGTTTACGTTTATAAAGGCAGTTGGCTAGAGTCGTATTATTATTTCTCGCGTTCGGCACTGAGCAAATGTTTTGTCCGATTGGTTGAAACCACCTTAAAAATGATAGCCTGAATAGATGGAAAAAGGTCATGTTAGCTAGGGCCACTAATACCTGTAAAGCTATGTTTAAAAGTTAGTCTTTGTGCCCTCGGTGTTTTTGTTACACGTCTGGTTCCTAGACAGTAATTATGCTCGACAAAGCAATCGCCTTGACTACTTAATCCTGTCAGTTGGCCGATTTCCTTCAAAAAACGGGCTTGTAAGTTTTTACTCTTCCCTTGAGTCCTTCAAGAAGGACATGTCCCTGCTGCTCATTGCGCTGCCCAGCACCCCCCTCACGGGATGGAATTCTGTGGCTCCATCGGGCTGTTTCTCCTCCTCCCATCTCATTGCGGATTCCTCCCAGCCCCTGACGTGCCATCTTCTTGAGAAGGGTTTGGTTTAGACATCTGCGTAGCTGCCGCGGCATGCTGAAATATAGCCCCGTGGTCACCACCGCAAAATGTTGGCGAAGCATGTTTGGGGTGTGGAATGGAGTGACACAAATCTGAGGTTGTCGGGGGTACAGAAAACTTGTTGTCTTAATGTTTCTCGTTTTAGCAAAGGGATGTCTGGTATAAAATCGTAATTTAGTGGCAACATTCAGGGCAAGTCACAGGAATCCAGGTGTTCCCCTGCGGCGGTGCCCTTGCCTCTGCCACCCTCTGGCGGGGAGCGGGGCGAGCCGGCCTCGGGAACCGCGGGGTGAGCCAGCGGGACACAACATACCCTCGGCACGGCGGAGAGGAGGCGGGGGGTGTTGCTAAGCTACAGTTCACACGGACCCCGCCTGGCTCGTTCGTGGCCCGCACCGTGCGAGGGGGAGTGCCGGGGCCGCGGGGACTGTCGGGGCGGGAGTTCGGCCCCGTCGCCTCAGCGGTGCGACGGTGTGTGCGGTGCTCTGCCGCCTGTTAGCACCGCCGGCGACCTCGGGGCAAGCCAGTGCTGTCTAGAAAAAGCCTCTGGCTCCGTCTGCACGGGGGGCTCAGCGAAGGACTCGCGCGGCAGAGCCCCCTGCCCGGGGTGCCGCCCCCGCCGCGGCTGGGCAGCCCCACCCGCCGCGGGAGTCAGCGCCGCCGCCCCGGGGAGAAGCGGACCAGCGGCAGCCGCCGGGGCCGGGGGGCTGTCCGTCCCCGCCCCAGCGGTCCCCAGCCCCCGTGCGGAGTGGCGCGGAGGGGGTGGCGGCAGCCCTGTGACTCATGCCTGCGTCGAAGCAGATCAACCGGCGATTCACGCTTTTAAAAAAGCAAATCCGAGCACTTCTGGGAAAAAAAAAGGTCATCTCGCATTAAATTCCGCGGCGCGATTGGTATTCCGACGTCGTTTCTGGCAGAGTTTATAAGCGGCGGGTCGCTCCCAGGCTAGAGTCGCCCTGCCTGCCTGGACTACGGCAGCAAGAGTGTCCGCTCGCCCCCTCGGTAAGTGTCCTCTAAACAGCATCCTATTTTTTCAAGCCTTTGGGAACCTCTTTCAGGATCTGGAGCATTTTTCCCCCCCTAAAATCGATTTGGGTCGTTGTCGTACCTATAGAGGAATAACGGACATTTTGATACAGCTAGCCCTTGAGACATCGTGTTAACCTGTTACTTCACTTCCAGGCATTGTCTAGAAAATCTCTTCTGCTTTACGGCTTTTTTCTTTTTCGTCTTAAAGAAATTAGATACCTGTTTTCCATTGAAATAATTGATCCGCTGCGTTTACGCGCGGGTGTAAATGAATAGGTAGCCACTGACTTGAAAAAAGCCGCTAACAAAGAAAGCATTCGTTCGTTACCCCGACCTTCATTTTCTGTACAAGGGGAAGAAAATAAATCGCAGGTAGCCGTGGGGACAAAGAGACGAGCTGGGCATTGACCCGGCAATTTTCGATCAGCGACCCTGTACTGGTTATCGGAGCACCGTGTCCGGCAGGAAAGAGCTGAACATCTGGTAAGGAGTGAGGGCTGGTCCAGCACCTTCCTTTCCCCAGACAGACATGCCTCTCCTGCCATTTGCGCCGCTAAAGCGAGCGCGGGCATGGGAGAGCGCTGGTTAGTGCTGGAGCACGTACCGGCCCCGATTTGCTGAAACATGTGTGTGCAAATACACGTGTGTGGCGCCTGTCACTGGACCTGGGCAAAATGCACCTTTATGGTGGCAGGGGTTTGTCTGTCAGTCTTTCCTGAATGCTTAGCCTGGCGTGTGTTTGGTAACACAGAGAAGCGGGTTCCGGTTGGGATTGTAGGTCATTAGGGCTGATGCTTTCGAAGCCCGCTTTGCACGTTGGTCTCCACTTGACGCGAGCCATATAATTGCCCACCTCAGTGGCCACCGATATAATTGCGATAGACTTCATGCTCTGCTACATCCGTCATTCAGGCGCGGGAGGTAGCGCCCTGACATCCAGCGAAGGGACAATTTTGCTCTTCAGCCTGTCGAGGCGTTTTCCCGGTGCGGCCGGCCCCGGCTCGTCCTGCCGCCGCCCCGGGACCTGCGCAACTGCCGCCCGCCGGCGTCTGGACGGGACTCCGGTGTGGTACTCCAGGAGACCAGACTGCTAAACCCGCCTTTTCTTCCTTCCAGCAAATTCCTTGCTGCCCACCTCTCAGAGGAATATCGAGGAAGCCCGGGCTCCGAGGACTGGGGCTTTTCTGAAGGGATGGCTTCCTCCACTCCCTCGTCCTCCAACGATGCTCCGGACCCCACCCCACCTAATTTACGACCTACAAGTAGGTTTTAATATTTTCCTCGTTTAAAGTGTTTTAGAGGCTTTCTCCACATAGGCACAGAAAGACTAGTTTAGAAACGAAATGTTATATCTGTGAATCCCTGTTCCGCGCCATTAAGCAAGGTGCAGAAAGTGCTCTACACAAAGAAACCATCTTCCTACTGGGAATGGGAGAGGTTGTTCCGGGGCGAATAAAACGCTGTGAGGAAAAGCCCACCTTAGCGGCCAGCGATGTCTTTATCTTACAGCCACAGCCGCATTTGAGTGATTTAGACAATAAACTGACCATCCAGATGGCCAAAAAATCGGTATGTTGTAAGAGGTGTGGAGCAAATGAATCCCTTAAAGGGCGACGCTACACTAGTGCCTTAAAGTGGATGTCTCCCCCCTACATTTTATAAATGCTAATGCTGCAGCTTCCTTTCAGCCTACGCTGAAGCCTGTAATCAAGCGAAATTTGGATGCTAATTGCAGCTTTTCAAAGCGTTGTATTCCTAATTGCTCTGATTTCCCCTTGAGTTATTGAGGTGTGAGTGGGAAGCAGAGGCTGCTGCAGGTGGATAGAGAATCAGTTTATAGCCCCGCCAGGCAATTCAGACCGTCGCCTACCGAAAAAAAAAAAAAAAAAGAGGCTCGATGCTATATAGCATCAGAGACAAAGAGCGGGCAACAGTAAGAAATGAAAGGTTGTCAGGGACAGCAGAGCGGGAAATAGCTTTTACCCTGAAAGAGCTGCGAGGCACAAGCATCAGAGTCATTATTGTCATTATTCTGAATCTGGAAAAACGGGGGAGGGGGCGAGAGACAGCACTGAGTCTTGTTCCAGGCACGGGTGATATGCACTGCTGCCTTCGACTGAGGTGTCACACGCAGAAATCGAAATAACTGGCAACACGGCTCAAAGCAAGATAACCGCTGGCAGCAGCTCCCCACCCTGCCCGCCCGGGGCTCCCCGCCCCCGGGCACGGGCAGCGCCCCTGACGAGAGGGCTCCTCCGCCCGGACGGGAGCGCCGCGGCCCTTCCCCGCTCCCCCTCCCAGGGATCGGGCCGCTGCACTGCCCGCCCGGGTGAGCCGTCCTCGGCCCGGCCTCTCTGACACCTTCTCCCCTCACGCCGCAAGGCCCGGTCAGTGCCCCCCGCGCTGCCGAACCTGCGGCTGCCCCGGGCGAGGGCCAGAGGGTCTCGGCGGTGCCCCGGGCCTCGGCTGCTGTCCCCTCTACCCGAGCCCCGCTGCCCGCTTCCCTCGGGCTCAGCTGGGGCGTGTCTGGGCCGCGGCTCCCGGGGCTGGGAAGGAGCCTGTCCCCTCCACCGGTGCCGTCCTAGGACGACCGTCGGCGGCCCGTCAGTCCGTCCGGGGCTCAGTCATGCAAGTCCGATCATCTAGTCAAATACTATTTTTCACCCAATTAATTCCTGAACTCTTTTGTGACCCCATTTCACGCCACTTTATTTTAAGCTGCCACTTCCCTGGAGCCCCGCCAGTAAATGATGAGATGTTCGAGTCCCGGGTGCCTTTCCCTCTCCTCTGGGCGGGCCAGCATGTCACCTCGCTGATACCCGAGCCTCAGCTGCCCCGCGCCGGGCGCCGCTGGGTTCGAGAATCAGCCGTTCCTCCCGGCTATGGGGCCGTGCGGGGGGTCCGGGGAGGTGGCGCGGCGTCCGGGGAGCCCCGCTGCCCCAGGGGATCAACTCTGCCCTCTCTTCCAGCTTATGACTCGTGGTGCGGCGTGGCTCACGGGTGCACCAGGAAGATCGGGCTGAAGATATGCGGTAAGTGCCCCCTTGCCTCCCCGTCCGACACCCCAACACACCCACGGGGGGCCCGGGGGACCAGCACCGGGGGCAGCACCGGCTGAACGCCCCGAGACCGAGCGGCCCCTCGGGCGCCCCCTGCGGGCTGCACGGCGGCTGGGCTGGCTCGGCTGGGCTGGGCTCGGCTGGGCTGGGCTGGGCTCGGCTGGGATCGGCTCGGCGGCCCCGGGACCGCCGCTGTGCCCTCTCGTGGGTTTGCGTGGGTCGGGATTTTGCCCGCCGGGGGAGGGACGGCTGCGGGCCCGCTGCCCTTCCTGCCACGCAAGGGGAGGTGCGGGCCCCAGGCGCCCCGGGCGAGGGAAGAGCAGGGCCCGCCGGAGGAGGGGATTTGGCCGCCTCTCACTGTCTGAAATTTTTCAACCTTATCTGACTAGAAAATACGGATCTCCGGGGGGAAAAGATTAACGAGAGCCTTATTAAAGAGCAATTCGTCAGCTTGCTGTGCTGGTAAGATAGCGCTGGCAGCCAGTCAGCGTGCAGGCACATGAAATGCAGAAGGGAAACAAATGCACAATCAGATCGCAACGTTATAGCAAGAGATTCATTTGCAGATAACAAGCTGTCTTCCTTCTCCAGATTTCTCAGTAGCGCCTTTGCTTTCGGAGACTAACAGTCAAATCTTCATTTTCTGATGAGGAGAATAATTCAGTTTAGCCCATACCCCTTATGCATAGAAATTATTTCCCATTTTCCCCCTCTACTCTTTGGGAGGGGGGGATGGGAAATTATTTCACGAGAGAAACGAACCATTTTTCAAAGCAAAGGTATATTTAAATCTCTTTCCCTACTCGCTCGAGTCGAAGTTCATTCACTAAAGGTTTTGTTACCTGGAAGTTTGGACTGGACAAGAATCGGAGTGCGAATGCTTAGCCCTGTGTCTGTTAGAGATTTCATTGGTAGCCGCTGGCGACATTAACGAGTAGTCGCTTAGTTCTATAAATAGCTCCTGATCTGGGTTTAATGGACCGTTTCCCTACCAGTCCCTTCAGTGGCTGGAGCAATGGGCTTTTTCACCATCATTTTAATTTAGCCCGGCAAGCAGAACTGATAAAGTAATGCGCCGTTAGGCTTGCTCCATGTTGCTAGACTACCGGGGTTACAGAGGGACATCGCAGCTTCTCAATGAGATCAAATACACTGAAAATGAAACATCCCACCATTTTGTATTTGAAAAAGGCAAAAGGGAATGTAGTAAAGGCTTTGTGAAGGGAATTCAAAACAAGCAGTGCTGCTGTATTTCTGGCTCGGGTTTGGTGTTCAGTTTTCCTTTACTGGCTATTTTCTCTTTTACCCTAAAAATATACTCTGAATAGTGACAGTGGTTTGGAATAGCTGGATTCGATCACGACCACTGTTTTTGCTTGTATGAGCCCTTCCATTTGAATCGAACACCTTCACAAAGACAGACAGGAAAGGTTGCCTTTGGCAAATATATAGAGCAAAGTATTAAGGTTGCCAAGAATCCTAATTAAACATGCTCAACGAATTGATGTTTGACTATTCAGACTACATCCTTGTTCTTACCTTTCACAAGACATCATTCCGGACCCTAAATGCTGTGCAGTCTCAAAGCTATAGTAAAACAGGCACCTCGGAATTGTTCTCTCTGCTTGTATCACGCAGAAATCGATTAATTTTGAATGCAAACTTTAAATTAGGATTGACCTCCGAGAAAAGGCAGGTCTTGAACAATGAGTTGGTTCTTCCACCTGGGTTGTATATTATGTGTTTGACATTTCCAGTAATTACGTATCCAAGATGTATGTAATTTCTTCTCAAATAACTGACAGATTTAAGGATTAGCTTTTTTCCTCTCCGGTTGAAAGCCAGGACCTGAAAAGAGCCCGGCCGCTGCCACACCCACACGCTCTTCGTCTCTGCACATATACACTTAAAAAAACCCCAAAAGACAACAACAAAAAACCCCCAAACCAACCAAACTCAAAGCTATTTTAAAGCGGTTTAATGAACTGTCACGGTGGGCAAAGTATGGGCAGATTTTCCCCAGTGTCTGGATCACTCCCACCTCGGCAGTTATTATTGCTAGGACCGATCCTGCTAACATTTGCTTGGCAGCAGTGGAAATACTGACGTAGTAAGATTGCTCAGGTGCGTCTTCAGCTGTTTGGCCGCAGCCAGCTGATGATTCCAAGCCCAGCGAGCAACGCGGCAGAGAGGGCTTTCAAAAGCAGCCGTGTATGTTATAAACTCGTCTCGTCTCCGGCGTCCGTGGGATTTATGCCGCCAAGTCACGAAGGTGCTGCTGAACACCCTGGCCGCAGGGGGGGACCAGGACCTCTTGCAGCCGCCAAGGACGTGCATTCCCCGACGGCTGCGGTGTGCGCCGGAACCCGGCAGGTTTGTCCCCGACTCGGAAGCTGAGGGTCCCCACAGAGCTGCGAGGCCGAGAGGGGTTCACACGCCTGCCTTGTACGAGGCCTAATGCGAAATAACGCTGAATTTGTGGTCACGTTGCGCACCGAGGGACTCCCTCGCCAGTCTGGTCTCATTCGGCTTTTGAAAACTCGGTCTCTTAAAGCGCATCGATGAAAACGCACCTGCGGGACAGACTCACTGCTGGGAAAGGCTGCAGTCTCCGCTGCGGCAGGAGAAGCAGCTTGGACGCTATTTCGTAGGCTGCTACTTACTGGAACTCTCCTACAGTGGCCTCACTTTTCAAGCAGGATACTGTTGGAAGGTTTGGCTACAGTTATGCGCTGCTGCTCCTCGGGCGGGGAAGGAGCCCTCCAGGGCCGGCCGCCGCGCTTCTCTGCAACCCGGGATGTGGGTTGGCGCTGGAGAATGTCCCCCATCCTCTCAGGGAGGAGCTCGGGAAACGAAAGAGTCCGACGGCCCCAAAGCGGGGGCTGCCGCAGCCCCGCGGGCTCCCCCTTGTACCGACTCTCCAGCCCGTGTGATACTGCCGTGGCCGAGGGACCCGGGTGAGCGGCACGTTACTTAACAGCCGGATGGGCTGATGCCGGGCGGCAGCGAGTTCCTCCTTTCAGGCTTTTTTTTCCTTCCAGTCACCGCCCTCGAGCGCAGCCCTGCGGGTCCCACGCGGCGCACACTGACGGGCCCCGTGCGCTTCGAGCCCCAGCTGGTCCCCGCCGGCTCCGGGACCCGCAAAGGGGCCGAGGAGCTCCGCGGGGAAGAACAGCACGGAGTCCCTGGGGCAAGGGCTGAGCTCCGTGCCCTGGCGCCTAGCTAGGTCAGACCCTTCAGTGAAGCCACTGCCTCGCTGGGCCCGATGCGAGCCGAACTGGAGGCAACTGCAGCCTTTCTCGGTTACTGAAGCGCTGCCTCCTGCTTTCCCATCGGAGCCTCCGAGGCACGCTCTCCTCTGCAGGCCGAGAAGAGCGCCAGTTGTGCGCCGCTGCTCCTGCAGACGTCTCTTCGCGCGGAGCTCTTGCCTCTGAGCCACCGGGTGCCTAGAAAAAAGAAAGGTGGAAAATTACAGCAAAACGAAGCAAAATGGTGAAAGAGGATCTCTCCGTAATTCAGTCTACACTGCACTTGCTTCGATATCAGCTGCTCCTCCTAACGAGCAGGCGAACAGCACTAGCTGTTGCAGGAGCTGGTGATCGCTGCAAGGACTGTTAAAAGCAGTAACAACAAAACAAAATATATACATAAGTACATATATATATATATATATATATATATATATATATATATATGTTATCGATCCTGGACGGCTACTCTCAACTTATGCACGAAGAGAGTTTCCTTTAAATAGTCTTTTTCGCATTCATAAAAGCATCACAAAAATAAACTTATTAGTAGAAGATCAGTATTAAACAGCAACACGTAAGGTGTTTACTGAAAGTATGACCGTAACAAACTTGCCTGCAAGCAACCTTCCTGAAGACTCGTTTAGGCGCCCGGCTGATGCAGAAGGGGCTGCCAGTCGGGTACTCCGTTTTCAGTGCTCCTTAGGGACTGTCCGGCTGGCAGTAGGGTCCGAGGCACAGGTATCATTGCCGGGAGCTGTTGGCCCAGCGACTCGCTGTCCCTCCCTTTTCTCTTACGGAGATGCAGCCCTTATGCCTGTCCAAGCTACAGGGGTCCCGGGTGGGCCGGTTGTGGGCGCTCGATGGGACTCCGGAGAGCAGTGACACATGGCCGGAAAGCGGAGGGCGCTGGCGAGAAGCGGCGTCGGGGAACGTGGGTGAGCGAAGTCACAACATTGGTTTTCCTCCCTGCTAAGCCTCCTCTTTGGTGGATATCCCCATCCGCGACGAGCCTTGGTTTCGATTGTTACTTGTTTTGAAAGAAAATAAAGAATGAAGGAGACCGGCTCCGCTACGGTGCTCCAATCATACAGACGCGCTTGCTGCAACCTGGGAGGTCAAAATTCGATGCCTTCTTTAATGACGAAAAGCCCGACAGTATGCGTGTTTTACCAGGCACCAGTGATTTAATGGATCAAATCCGGAAAATTAATTTCTCTCCCTGCCTTGTTAAAGTAGATGGGTCTCATTACTCGCCACAGACCCTGCGTGGCACTCACACCCATAATTCTTGGGGTGAGTGGGTTTATTATTGCCGTCACACATAACAACGGCAGTTGTGTTCGGTCCTGGGCGCCAGAGATGTGTCTCCAGTGAGAGCGGAGCTCCTAAAACCCCCGGGGATGATTACTGTTAGTATCAAAGCATCTTTTCAGGTGGAAAATCCACATCAGTATGTACTGATAATAGGAAGGTGGGTACTATCGGTGTTCTTAGAGCTCTGGCACTCTCAGGATGGCTGCTCCAGAATGGCTGCTTGTTCTCATGCCTTTTGTGCGTGAGAGCACCACGAGGAGAACTGAAAACGGCCCTGATTTTAATCATACATCATTGCCCCTGTCTGCTAGGTCCATAAAGTTCGCCTGCAGGCTGAAATAGCATTGACTCATCCTGAACTCTCTTCCAGTGGCTGATTACTGAAGTGGAATCTGTCTGATCGACTTAATAAGAATTTACCACTGCACTAAATGACGAAATTTTGTTTTTTGCATGGCTGCGTTTTTGCAGTTGATGGCATTTTGAACTCTCCCTCCTGGAGGCAAATAACCTCCATAAATACTCTTATTCCTGACCTCATTAGTCAGATCTAGAACTAACACCGCTTTTAACTGCTGTCTAGAGAGCTGCTTTAGATATTTCTAAACATGTTGGGAAGTGAGAAAACTCTGACCTGTGCACCTTGCAATAATAATGTAGGGTTCCTGCAAAGGACCAACAGCCTAGAAGACAAGAGCCGGATTGTCAGCTCCCTGAAAGAAAGGCATCAGTCCTCCAAGAGCATGCTGGCTTGTGAGAACAGCGAGAAGGAATCCAGGTTCCGACGCACCGAGACAGACTTCTCCAATTTGTATGCCAGAGGTAAACACTTTACAGCTTCTCCTTGCTTCAGCTCAGGCACGTCCCTTAATAGTGTTGCCCTCGGCTCCCTTGAAGTGCAGCCACACTCAGACCGTGCTTTTGCTTGGTTGTTTTTGAAGGAAGCTCTGTGTCTGTGTTTGTTGGGGCTGTACTGACAATGTGTACAAGTTTGCTGAAGTGCAGTTTTACTTACTTTGGGCTGATCCTCTGCAGCTCAGCTCTAGCAGTCCCTCTGGGCTTACTCCAGATCCAGCATCCGGGGGGAGAGTAATTTTATATTTTATGTCCTCCTTAATAAAATAGCAATGAAGTGGTCTGTGACTGCTGGTACGGGGCCATTGACAAGAAGAGTAGGGAAGGGAAATGAATCCTTTTGCGGGACAGAGGTGGGGACGTTGCAGAGGAAGGGCAGGTGCACATTTGGGGTGCTTTCAGACCAAGGAAAGTGAATGCCTCGCACTGCATAGCATTAGCATTGCAGGGCAAACTTTTTGACAGAGGCACCTTGGAGGTGCCTCTGCTGTTGCCGTGGGTGACTTCGCATCACCCTTCCCTGCCGGGCCAGAGGGACTGGGAGCCTGCCTCACTGCAGCCAGGCTGCGCTGGGGCCACAGCTTCCAGGTCCTTGAAGGGCTTCAGGCAGCCGAGGCTGGTTCATTTCCGCTTCTCTTTCCCAAAGCAAATGGTGACAGCTGCTTTGCCCCACAGATTTGTTGCCCTCCAAGAATGGTGAGGAGCAGACCATGCAGTTCCTTCTGGAGGTTGTGGACATCCTCCTCAACTACGTGAGGAAAACATTTGACAGATCCACCAAAGTACTGGACTTCCACCACCCGCATCAGCTCCTGGAGGGCATGGAGGGCTTCAACCTGGAGCTTTCGGACAACCCTGAGTCCCTGGAGCAGATTCTGGTGGATTGCCGGGACACGCTGAAATACGGAGTGAGGACAGGTAGGTTTTTGCACACTACGTAAAGAGTCTCTCCTGGGACTTTTCTCAGGCTCGCGGTGAAGTGAGAGGGATTGAGCTCATGGAGGTAAACCCACATCCTCTCCACATGCGGGACCGTGCTTGCCCAGAGGCTTGGCTCCAGGGCTGTCTATGGGCGCTGAAAATGTCTCTGCTCAGAAACTTGAGTTACTGATGCTCCATCTGGAGCAACGGGTAGAGCTCCGCGCTGTTTTCAGAGCACAGAAACAAGTTTTTAAGACATAATCTCTTTCACTTGATGAAATGCGAGCTGTCTGTATCTCCGGGGAGCAATATCATTAGGTAAATGAGAGCATAAATGACACTGAATTTGCAGTTTTTCTTCTTTATGTTCATCAGACGTTTAATGAAAAAGAGACTGAAATCCTAGGAATCATCAATAAAGGAACCCTGTGGATTTCAGCCCATTACCCCGGAGCCCTGCCTGTCCAGGTCCTTCTGAATCAGACAGAAATACCGGTTTATAATCACTTCTTTTACTGAGTGAGCTGTAGCCAGGCTCCAGAGCAAAGTTAAGGCTCTTTCAGACTATCTGGCCTTTTACATCTGTATCCACGGAAATCTCTGCTGGCAACAAGCCCTGACTGCTGTACATACCCTAGCAGGTCAGGAACAGGAGTGATAACGGAGCAGGTGCCGTGTCTCCCCTCCCCAGTCTTGCTCAGATGTTTTGGGCCAGCTGCCCTCTTGAGCACCGCTCGGTTCAGCGCCCAGAGCGGGCGGTAGTTTCCCCCCGGAGCTGGAGTGGCGGGCGGCGGGAGCTCGTACAGGGAGGCTATTGCCTGGCGGTCTCTGGCTGGGCTGCTGCGAGCCATGGCTCCTGAAGGGCGAGGCGCAGCTTTTTGCGGCGGTTAGTTAGGCAGCTGTGAAAACCCAACGCAGTGCATTCAAGGAACAAAATCTTGAAACAGATGTGGCGGTTAGCGTCCTGTCTTTTTTTTCCTATTTACATGGTGGTTTGATTTACTCACAGGAGTCAGGAGCATACTTTGATTTTGTACCCTTAATCAAAGGGGAGCACATTTCGCTTCCAAAGGCGTGGGTTGTTGAACAGGTGACAACCAGCTAAGCTAGAGTGGCTGCGCTCTGTGTGCTTGCACCTTTACTCCGCTATCGATCGCCCCAGCATATCGAGCTACCTCCTCCCTTCCCCACAACCTCCCCTGGAGCTCTTGTGGGACCGGCAGGACCCGTCCCCGGGAGCTGAGAGGCAGGTATCGACCAGACATGAGCTCAGTTCAAAGCAGTACCTGGTGCAGCTTTAAAGAGCTGCTCCGACCGTATGAGGCCCAGAACACACGCCCTGGCTTCCCAGGCTCCCGGGGCTCACATTCTCTCTCCAGGCGAAGCTCCCTTTAAAGCCACCGGTGCTGAATTTGCAGCACAGCCTTAGGAGACCGTAGTCTCGCTAACAGCTTTGGGAGGTCAGGGAAATGTCGCTTAAGATAATTTCTCAGTCCGTGATGGCAAGGGAGAAAAGAGCTGATTTGTAAAGCAAACAGCTATGCCATGGTGGTATTTCTGGGCTCTAGCCCTGAGCCGCTGGCTCCCCGGGGCGAGAGCTGCCCGGGCACGGCGCACCCTCTTGGGGAATTGTCCCGATGTGGCAGCGCCGGCAGGCTCACGCCTCCGAAAGGTTCCTGCTGACATCGCTCGGAGCAGAATCACATTTACTTCTTCATGTCAAAAGATGCTGATTTTCCCAGTGTTGAGCCGAATGCGACGTGACAGGTCCCTCCAGACGTCGAGCGCTGACTCCCCTCTAGGGGGCTGTCCCTCGTGTGCTATCTGCGTGTCCTTTCCCAGAGAGCAGAGAGAAGGTTTAAATCATGACATCTCCCACCTCCCCTCAAAGCCCGTTATCAGGTGTTAGGAATTTCTTCGTTTCATGCTAGAAAAGTAGGCACTCGACATTATTGCTTATAAAAGTTGTTAAAACAACTCCGGCTGAAATAGAGGAATATTATTTACTTCGGCTCCACAGCAAATCCTTTGTTTAAGGAAGTGAATCCTAGCTTTTAAACCAAGTGGGCAAGGGACCGAGCTGAGGAGGTCTTGGAGGACCCTCTCACACCGCTGCAGCGGGTCGTGCCACGCTGGGACATTCCCGCCGAGACCCCGCGAACGCCGCTCCCGCGGCCCTGCAGCTCAGGAAGCGACTGGCTCCTTCGCACCCCTCCCTCACTCCTGCAGTCCCCGCTCTAGTGGCTCTTTCCTCATTCGAATGCAAATGGACCCAGCACCTGCAGATTGTTTCCGCCGAGGGTCCCCCACAGCGTAACTTCGCCCGAGTTCACAGCATGACCGAGGTCCAGAGGGGGTTCTGGAGATGGACTAACCTTGTGCAGGTCCCAGAGGTGTTTTACAGGCTCAGTCTGCTCTGAGGTTTTTATCTTAAATTTAAACTCTAATGATTCCATCCAGGAGCTCCCGCCACAGCGGTTTTTCAAGTTTGTAATAAGACATCTGTGAATGTTGGCTAAGGGTCTCCCCATAAGCAAGACTTGCTTTGAAAACTTTGCTGCAAGTGTTATGGCTGCAAAACCTGTCGTTTCTGTCGAATAGTTGGATGGTTTAAAACTGAAACCTGTGACACACCAGTGGAGTCTGTTCTAAATTGCTCTCAATTCTCATTCCAGGTCATCCTCGCTTTTTCAATCAGTTGTCCACAGGACTGGACATTATTGGCTTGGCTGGGGAGTGGCTGACATCAACTGCTAATACAAACATGTAAGCAGTGCCTCGTCAACAGCGTCTGTGAGTGGTGCTTACAGGGGCTGTGTGTATCATGGTACATATGTGTTGTCACAGACATGAATAATTTTCATATTTAGATGATGATTGTTGCATCTTCAATAAAACTGTCTCATGTTTTTCTTAATGTAGCAGTAATACAGTGAAAACAGTTATACAAAGCTGAACAATTTTACATTTCTGTTAAATAGAAATGCAAATATCCCACGGTAAGTAAAACATGATTATTCTAATATAATAACATGAAATTATTTTTTTTCTTTTGGACCAGTCTTCTTTATCTTTTTCTGTTTTGTTTTGTTTTTTTTTTTAAAGCTTTGTCTCTAGACTGAGTAATTCTACAACTATCCATGTGTTAACATTAGAATACAAAATATGTAAAGATTTATTGTTTTTTCTCCTGTTGACTTCAGAGATAGCAGGCTTGAGGCAACAGCTTCTCCCGTTTATGTGCTGGTAAAGAAATGGCTTCTGGGTGGCTTCAAGATGATTAAAAATGTAACACTGAAAAATAATTTGATGATAATGAAGAATTTAGTCTGAGAATAATAAATGGAAGTATAAAAAGGTAAAAATTAACATTTGAATGTAACAAATGATAAACTTTTCCTAATTTTTCTTGACCTCAAAATTAATGAAGACTGAAGGTCAACATAAGGTACATTTTTGCAACGAAGAGTGCAATGGAAAAAGCCCCCCACTAAACAAAAGAACCTTCTAGTCAGTTTTTGTTTAAATTTTGATTTCTATATGCTCAAAAATGTGATGGGACTCCAAAGGCTGCTCTCTTTTAGTCCTATATGGGATGTGTTTTAACTCTAAAGTTACCTCTGTTTTGGGTAGTTCGTTGCTAATTCTGTGTCGGAACACAGAAAATGTATCTGCAGATTGGAAAGGAACAGTATTTTCACTGGCCTATCCATGAGTACATGATTTCTTAAATATACCTGATTGCTAGCAGTTCTATGTAGATTATGAACTGTACCTGTTTTGTGACATCAGCAATAAAGAACACCTAGGGTGCTCCAGTCAAAACCAGCCCGCTCTTTGTAATAATCATCTGATTTAGTTCTCTGTTTGGTAAAAATTAGTATGAGACATTCAGATTTAAAAGCTAATTGGAAAGAAAATCTAGCAACATATATTTTGATTGTTAAATGAGTAGTGTGAAATGCTTTACAGGGCTTTTAAATGCCTTTTTAAACAGCACAATTAAAAGTGAAAGAAATTCCGATCACATTTCTAAAAGAAAACTTTGCTTAACAGTTGTTTCTCTGTGACAAAAATGTACTTCTGAGTACCCCTTTCCCTTTGACTAACTTACTTGTCCCAGTTTATTTATCATTTTGTAAGCAGTGAAATTACACAAATTTGATAGGACACAACCGAATTCGGTTCTGTGTCAGACTGTGACAGGTTTAGGAAATATTGCCAACGGTATTAAGAACATTGCACTCATTCATTCACTTCTTAAAGAGTAACTCTTCTTTTAATTGAGGTTGCTTTTTCCTTTTGGTTGCTTATTTCCTTTTCCTAGTAAATGCAAAATAATACATTGTTCTCTTTTTTCAGCAAAACAAGGTCAACATGGTGTGCTTTCAAATAACAGTAATTGCAAGTAAGGCTAAAGCAAGATGCTTGTAAAATATGATTCAAAGAACTGACAGAGAAGGTTGTTAAAAATAGCCAAAATCATCTCTGTGAGCTCTGGGAAACATACTATTTGTTTTGAACAATGGTCCAGCACACAAGAGCTGGTTTTGACCTTTACCTAGAAACTGTTCTAACCTATTTCAGCTACATAAACACGTAACACACAAGTGACAGTAGCACTGAATTATGGCAGAGAAGGTTTTCCATTTGCTGTTTTTTCTTTGCTGCAGATAAACAATACTTAAAATATTTAAGAACAATTAAAAATAAGTTTTCTTTTGCAGATGCGTTTTGAATAATCAAAACTCACTTAAAAATTTTAATTATCATTAGAAAATATTACTTAAATGTCATTATGAAGATAATATATAAAATTAAACATAATAAGCTTCCCTTATTGACTTGGACATAATGCATTGATGTGCTATTCATAGCACTAATCATGAGACCTTCAGGGTGGAAATTTCAGAAACTGCCATTATTCATCTAGTTCTAGGGTTCTGCAGTACAAGGCATTCTCTCACCATGCAGCAGCCAACTGGGTTAGAAAGCAATAGTATTATCTGGAAGTTCTCTTTGTGCCCACTGTTAGCTGGAACATGAGAATTATATTGGTGTTTTCAGTATTATGCATATATGCTTATGAAAATACAGCATAGAAAATCGATGTACAATGCTTTATGCTTATTCTCAGAATGCTTTTTACATACTGGCAAACAGGAGAACAGGTAGCTAGAATGATTTGGTCTGATAAAGTGATTTGCTCTTTAGATGAGAGCAGAATTAAACCAGCACTGACTTCTATCAAAAAAAAAGCCATACATTTATTCTATTAGTAAAAATCTGACACTTGGGACTGTTCTAGTTAATTCATAGAAGTGCCTGTGAAGGTTGTAGAAACATCTAGCGAGCATTTTTTGTCAAGAGATTGATTCTGAAGTTGGATCACCCCTTCTAAGCCAAACACAGTTTTTGGGTTTAACTGAATTTTTCAAAATCATTTAAGTTTAAAACAAGCAAGTTTGAGTGAACTTTAGCAAGATGTGATTTGTAAAATCACAGCCATCATCTAATACAGCTGCACTGGCTTTGTAATTTATAATCATCTGCACTCTTTTATTTCTTGTCAGTTTTTGGAAAATCAGAAAATAATTACAGAATAAAATAAGCAAATACTATTTTACTTGTATTTGCGTATATTAAAATTCCTCTTGTGAAGACTTGATATTTTATATACAAAAAACTTGCTTAATATTATATATTTTTTTACAAGCCTATAAGTCTTCTGGAAATTATGTAGGGATCAGTGTGCAAGATCTCAGGACAAAACTCAAAATTTAAAATATTTAAAGTATTTAAAATATTTAAACCTGTGGGGAAAAAATTCATATTGACTTAAACATATCTTTTATTGAATTACAGTGATCTATGCTCTGCCGAGTTCCTGTTGACTTCAGTTGATCATTCTACCTAAATAAAGATTGGAGTATGTTCTAGTCTTGCAGTGCTTAAAACCAAACCAAACCAAAAACCCCCACTGTTAGCAGACACTGGTTCATTAATTTTTTCTATTTGTAAATAATGGCAGCACCCAAACTTCAGATCAGTGTTCAGCTGTCTCTGGCAGTTCTAATGATAACAAAAGCAAAATAAGTAGTGTTTTGGCTTCTGGAAATAGCAATTACAACAATTAAAGAAATTACAAGTGTTTAATCTTAAAGGAATTTTTAAAAATGGTGGTGGTGTTTCTCTAATGGACTAAGGACACACAAGGATTAAAGAAAAAATTAACTGTTTAAGTAACCAGTGTAGCTGTAAACAAAACACAAGCTTTTTCAGACACTTGTTTTCTTCTTAATATCACCTGCCTGCTTCAAGTCTGCCATACTTATTCTTAAAATATCATTTTGGTATTAAAGAGACAACACATACATTTTGATGAAATTATTCAAGTGGAAGACATCAGTCAAATCTGAAGTGTCAGGATGTCATACTCTTACAGACTCCTTTGGAAATCATAAGTTGATTGTTTTGTTTCTCTCTGCTTCCTTTTTTCCCCTTTTTTTTTTCTCCCATACAGAGCAAGCAGAGTTTGTTTACAGCTGTAGCAATTTATCCATGTACCTTGATCACCAAAAGTGGTTGTATGGCTGTCACTTTCCATCCATGTATCTGACTGTGACATCAGGGCATACCAGGCTATGTTATGGTTTTTTCCCTCATTAAGTGGATACAGTAGTTGACTGCTGACTCGGTTTCGGTAATTGGTAATTAGAAAATCATCATTTATAATTACTCTTGACAGTTATTGATCACACTGTATTGTAGAAATAAGTTGTCCTTGGAGATCATCAACAAAATAAATCCACATAATTAATTGTACTTAGACTTTGAAACCCTAGCTCAATACTTCTAATTATGGTTGTGTTTAGCTCAGTGAAGTTCACCGTTTTCATAAAGATTTGGAAGTATGTTATTCCACAAGTGTGGAACTGGCACTTTGGGAAACTATGTTTTACACAGTCTTGTACAGCAGTCAGCAGGCTATGATGATGAACATTAGGTCTTACCTTCACTATATAGAAATCTGCAACTAATACTGCAGTTTTTATTCACCAGTACTGTTTTCCTGAGGATTTTTTCTTGGGTAAAGGTTGCAGTATCAGGACCCCAATTTATAGGAAAACCTAGAGCATTTACAAAGAATCATAGACTGAGAGTTTATTGTGTGTTTTTAGAATTTGTATCTGATTTTATTTGTTTGTTTATTTAATTTATCCATGCAGGTTTACCTATGAAATTGCCCCTGTTTTTGTCCTCATGGAACAAATAACACTTCGAAAGATGAGAGAGATTATTGGATGGTCAAGTAAAGATGGTGATGGAATATTCTCACCTGGTGAGTTTTTCTTCTCTGTTTTTATGGTTTGACTAAAACTTCAGAAGGTAAAATAAACTGTCTGAATATTCAGACTATCTGCAACACAAAGCAATGAGTCAGTTATTTAGAAGTAGGAATGTTTTGTTTAAACGTCTCACAGAAAAGCTGGGGAAAAATTACCTCAGAATATGGCTACGTATTATGGCTGGTCAACATTTTAAGACTTGATTAGGAGTGCTGGTACATAGTTGGGCATTTAAACAGTCCTTTTGTGTGCTTCATTTCTGGAGATGCTGAGCAATCACAGTTCTTGCTGACCAATAGTTCTTGAAAATCATGTGCTGACTTCTTTGGTGGACAGCGAGGATTTGCGCTCACAGTCAGGAAAAGACTGCGGTGTCACTTTCTGGGACATATTGTCTGGGATATAAACTGACTGGATTCACAAGTGTGATTCCAGTATAAAGACCAAGATAAAGTGTCTTCCCATGAAAGTGACATAAAGGCAGTGAGCAGTGACAGAAATGACTGATGATAAGCCATGTAGAAGTCCTGAGCCAATGTGTGGACAACATGGGCACCCAGCAGAATTCCATTTGCTGGGTTTGGCATGAGGGGACACCATCCTGTTGCAGAGGATAAAGGACAACACCACCTCCATTTGAAACAGCCCACATAAAGTCTAGGAATGCACACTTGCTTGATGTCCAGTCCTATCTACTAGAAAAATACAGATCTTTCTCAGTGTTCTCATCAGTAAGAAATGTTAGAAGGTGATGTTGTCCTAGACTTATGGATGAGATTGATCTTCCTAAAGCTTGAGGTCTGCATCAAAGAACTGACCTAATTGTTGAGGGCCATTTTTAACAGCAAGCCAAGAGAAATAGGTGTTTTCTCTCAATTCAAATTCTCCAAAAGTAAGTGTCAAAATACATTAGCTGAATTACAGGCTGTGAAGTGCCTTTCCCATAACTGACCCTAAGGAAGTTTACAATAACTAGCTCAGCTGTAGAAATGTACCTTTAAGCCATCTCCTTCTACGTCTACAGTAAGATGGGATATATCCATCCAATATGTGACGTTTCTCCAACCTCACACAAGTTGATAAGTTCCTGTTGTTCTTGCTAACAAGAAGTTGACATGCAAAAGAGGCACAATGAAAGCTAAACTTTTTCAGAATGTGTTAGAAAATGTTAGCAATTGAAAGAGATGACAAATAGGAAATTCTGACTATCACTATGACTTTCCAGAGGGTCTGTCCTATGCTGTTTAGACAGATGCCTGTGCGTTTCAGAAATATACTTCTTCATAGTTCACTGCCACTTTCACTGCATTATGCAAATGAGACTTGTATGTCTTTGGTATAATATGCATTTTTTTCATTATCATGATTTTATTATTCATTCATTTATTCATTCACAGGAGGAGCTATCTCCAACATGTACAGCATAATGGCTGCACGTTACAAGTATTTCCCTGAAGTCAAAACGAAAGGCATGGCTGCAGTCCCTAAGCTGGTTCTCTTTACCTCAGAGCATGTGAGCTTAATACACTGCTAATTCTTAATTTATTGATGTATGTTGTTAAAATACTTCATCATTAAACCACCATCCCGTTTAATGTTCATATGTTTGCTGCAGAGTCACTACTCAATAAAGAAAGCTGGAGCTGCACTTGGATTTGGAACAGACAATGTGATTTTGATAAAATGCAATGAAAGGTAGGGTGAATGCTAAGGGTTTGATAGATTAAATGTGTTCATCTGTTAAATTTTTTGTATTGTGTTTAAGGACTGATTCAGTACAGTGTGTCAAGTTACTAATGGCCTGTTGAGAAAATCCTATTAAAGTATTTCAGCTGTAGGTAGTATTTCCATATGCATTCTTTAATTTTCTTTGTCTTTCTGTTTCTATGATAATTACAGAGGCAAAATAATACCAGCTGATTTGGAGGCAAAAATTCTGGAAGCAAAACAAAAGGTTTGTGCTCTTAAAAATTAGTCCTTAAATGCTTGGCCTAGTAAAATTACTCCTTCCTTTGAAGCCTGAGGGCTGACATTAAAGAACACATTATAATGAGATATAAATGTCATCATAATATTTTCAGATGCTTAATTATACATTTATGTATTGTTTAGCGAATTATCTATATGTCTTGCTAAGCTTTCCATTTTCTGTTTAAAAACAAAGTATTTTTAACTCTTGAACCACATCCATATTTCATGTCTTTAAAAAATAACTTTCTGTGGAAATATATGGAAAAAAGCATGAGAACACAAAACTAAAGCTACTTTTGTCCAAAATTTAAAGTTTAGCCAAAACCATTAAAAATTCTATAGAACTCCAAAAAAATCATATAGATTTCATGTGTGAGGCTGCAGGGTTGGTAAATATAGCCAGTTAGCTTAATTTTTTTATACATTAATTATTATTTCTTGAATCATTGTAGTGAAAAATCCATTAATTTTGTACAAAGCAACTGAAGTTAGAGCAATCTAGATTATTAATTTTTTATTTCTTGACTTCCTTACATTTGAGCACTCTATGAAATTGGAGTTCACATTTATTTCATTTAAGTCAAAATTGTCTTTCTTTCATCTGATAGTTCCACATTTATTGCTTTTGTTTTGGATTCCTTTGTTCTGTTTATTAGTAGATAAGGACTAAAGGAACAATTTCAGGCCTTCAAATCACAACTTACAGATCACATTTAATTAATTTTCCCTTATACTGCTGTAAAAGTCACAACTTTACTGGGCTATTGCTAGTCTTTTAACATCGTTTGAATCTCCTCACTGAAAAAGATTAGACAAAATAATATTCTTTATCTTCTAACTAGTTAATTTTGTGAAGTCACAATACAATAAACACAGAGTTTGTTCTTACCATGTATATGATTAGTTTCTACTGTAGCTTGTGTGTACCTTTCACATGGGAAGAAAAGGCAGGAAAATGAGATAACAAAGTTTCTGATATTATTTTCCCTTTTTTTTTTCCTGAAAGAGGTTGGCATTTATATTTAATATTTTTATTTTTATTGTAGGGATACGTTCCTCTTTTTGTAAATGCAACTGCAGGCACAACAGTATATGGAGCCTTTGATCCAATACAGGAGATTGCAGATATATGTGAAAAATACAACCTCTGGCTCCATGTAGATGTAAGTAACTAAAAAAGTGCTGCTATTCAGGCAAAAAGGGATTTTTTTTACATGTGTTTTTTCTTGAATTAAAATATTTATTACTAGATTCTGATTAATCTTATATATGTTGAGCTTTTTCAAAAAAATGAGTCTTTTCTTTTTTCTGTCTCTTCCAGGCTGCCTGGGGAGGTGGACTCTTAATGTCCCGAAAGCATCGTCATAAATTGAATGGAATAGAAAGGTACTACATGGTGCTTATTTGTAATACTGTTATGCAAGTACCTTCATAAGGTACATGACACTTCACGAATTCATGAAAATATTAATTTGCTACATTAAGGAATTTAAATTAAACAAAAGCAAGACAGACAGGAAAGGTTTAGACTGTGAAGATTGAAACAATACTACAGAAGTGATGTACTATTGTGTGAAAGGTAAGTTTTCAGCTGATTTGAAGGGGGATAAGGATATTACTTGGCAAAAAGAAAGGGAAATTGTTCTGTGCGTATCTTTGAAGGGATCATAAGTCTGGGAAAGGATGAAGAAGGATTTGAGTTAAAAATGAAGTGGGAGAACTAGACAATCTCTGAAATGTAGGGCTTTGAGAATAGCAGTGATAAATGAGGAATCCAGGGAAGGTGTTTGAGCATGGATACTCATGATGGGAAGCCATGACATGATGGGAACTTGTAAAGGTTCTCTCCTGAAAGATGTTTGCAGTTTTTTCAGAAAATAATGAGTATTTTCTGCCTGAAAATGAGTGTTCTGTAAATGAAAGGTTTTTTATATATATATTTATATATATACAAAAAAATACTTTTTTTTTTTTTAAATACAACAATGAGAGGAACACAGGGAGACTGAATTAGTAGCAATTTTTAGGGGCACGTTTCAGTACCTATAAAGCTGGAAAAGACTACGATAGCTGATACTTTTCTGCTGTGCCAGGGAGAAGACTGAGGTCATTTACAGGGGGGCCAGAAAGGGTCATTGATACTCACCATGTCTGAGAGCACAGGGGCCTCTGAGTTACATGAAACAAGCAGGAAACTCTTTTAGAGGCCAGAGTGAAGAATGCAGAAAAGAGCACACGGGTGTCCCCAAGTACATAAGCCAGATTATCAAGATGCCCACTGAGACCAGAAGCCAATCTTTAATAGATAATTGATTGAACCCAATTTAAAGAGACAAAGCATTTGTGTTGGTAGTGATGGCAGAGTGAAAGTATGACTCTCTCACTGGCCCTTACAATTCAGACTCAGTAGTCATTCCAGGTGTAGCCTTTGGCACAGTTGTTCCCATATGGAGTGATGACAAGCCTGTAGAAGATACTATGTTTATAACCCCATGGGTGTCTCTAGCTTTCCTCTGAAACTGCTCTATCATGAAATGCTGTCCATCTGAATAGAAATCAGAAAAGCAATGAAGAACCAGAAACTTGTTTTCCATCATTGCAGTTATCAGACTCCAGGGAATCAAAAAATATTTGAAGCAAGCTCTACCCATGTACTCTTAAATTAGCACCAAATTGCTTCCTTGAGTCAACTGTACTGAATGTGAGCACCACATAAAGGTGTAAAATGAGTACAGTGAGTAAGGCTCTTCCTTAGGGAAAACAGCCTTTCCTGGTGTTGGGCATCTCAGACAGTAAGTGAAGAATAAATACAATGTAAGGAATTGTGTACAGAAGGACTGGCAGCAGAACCATGCAGACCCTTCTGTCACAGAGATGGCAGGGTGTGGTGTGGCAGGAGTACTCTGAAGTAGCAGAATCCTATCAACCTCTGCCCAGTCCAATTTGCGAGTCACTCATGGCAACATGTCTAGTATAAGGCCAGCATTGTGAAATAATTTTCTTAAGGTACATAGGTTTGGTCATAGGAGTTTGGCACACCTCTTTTGACCTGAGGTCAACCCAGAGGTGCTAATTAAGGCTTTAATTTTCAGTAAATAGAGAAGGCAGCAGGCCATGATGCGTGAAATTATTTCTTTCCTAGTCAGTTATACGGATCTTCAAACACGGGATGGGGCCCACGTGTACTGTGTAATTGCCTGTCATGAGCCCCAGCTGGGGTCTGTTGCTAACACTCAGGTCATACTTGGCCTGCTTGCAGACATTGGCATGAAGGACTGGCATGCTGCCATGGTACAGAGCTGGGATTGCCTGTGGTAGGATAGCCTCTGGCTGGCTGGCTGCACTGAGGAGAGTGACATCTTCATGTTAAAATAAACCTAATGCTCCTTGCGAAGAGTGACTTAAAATTGTCTTTGTTTGGAACCCTGAACGTTAAATAAATGTGCTAAACTGAAGACATGGTGTTTTTAAAATGGAAATCAGCTGTTAGATAAATTCATGTTTCTTGATTACTCTATCTGAACTATTAGTGAAGTTTTTTGAAAGATAAGTGCCTCCTAAGTCTGAGCTATGTATCTGCTGGTTTGCACCACATAAGCAGGAGATTTTAGAGGGATGGTGAGCTGCCCAGGTACAGCACAGCCTGCAATGTTCTTTTGACTGAGGGGTGCTGCAGTTTAACCTAGCGCAGACAGAGGTTGGAATCGTATCTAGAAATTAATGGTCCTCATAGTGGGGTGAAGATATCATTGTGTTGCTCAAAATGGAGGAACCGTGGTTATATCTGTGTCCTCTGAGAGCAAGGTGTAGAAGAGGAGGAAATACCTTTTAATTTTCTTTCAACCACATTGTAAGAATACATGAATAGTCTGTGAAATACCATTATGTGATTTCCTTCTGTGGAAAATGCAGTGAATCAAGGGGACATTTGGCAATTAATTACTTAGGGCAAAGAGGTCAATAAATGTGCAATGTTGGCGCATTTGTTTTAGCATCATCATTAAGCCGTCTAGGATAGTATGTTAAAAATACAGAACATCTCTTGTGTTTGACTAGTAAATTAGGGGATCTTGTGCATTCACTTGTGTTTACACATAAAAAGTTTTAAGCTTTACATACAGAATATTAGGATTCTGATGTAAAGTTTTAGAGCCTTTCAGCAGTCCATGGACTCAACAAGCTAGAGCTGTGGCTCTAGCTGGGAAAGCAGATAAGCATGGAGAGTGTCTTTTCATTTGCTTGCTAGTTTTCCAGCAGCTGTTCAACAAAGAACTGTATTCTCCCAGAATCCATATTAGTCCCTTAATTCTCTGCCACCCCTGCTTTCCCCATCAGTACCTTGAAATGAGAGAACACATCAAACTGGTTTTGTTATTTTTGTTAGTCCTATTTCTGGAAGTGGAGTCTTCTGGTGGAGATGTTACTGTATCAGCTAATAATCTGATACTAATTAGCTGATATTAGTAATAATATAAACTAATCATAAGTCTGACATTGCAATGTTAACGCAAAAAAATTCCTTTCCTGGACAGCATAGCTGGGAAAGAAGACACTTGAGACAGTAATAACCTCCATACTGATTCATCATGGTCAAAACTCCATATATTTCCAGCTGAAAGCAGAAAACAAAGGTGACTGCTTCAGGTTAAGTTTCTGAATTCCAGACCTATCTGAATGTGTAATTTTTTTGCAGAGCCAACTCAGTCACTTGGAATCCACACAAGATGATGGGAGTGTTGTTACAATGTTCTGCCATTCTTGTCCGGGAGAAGGTCTGCCTTATATTTAATAATTAAACATTTAAAAAAAAAGAAAAGTAAATACCAAGCCCTACTTTTTCAGAGGGTATTGCAAAATCCATTTAATTTCAAAACTTTATTTGGAAGGAATAATTGTGTGGATTTACATTGTGTTTAGGTAGTTGTTTTATCTTTCCTGGATTTTGGGGGCTTTTTTTGGTTAAAGCTGTAGGCAATATGGATCAGATCTTTAGCTGTTGGGTCTTTGCTTATTCTAATAAAAATAATAGAGCCACGCTAATATACTTCATCTGAGTACCTACCCTGCTGTTTCTACGATATACTGAACATACACCTTTGGTCTCAGTACTTGGTAACAGTCTAAACTTCTTAGATAAAAAACAACTCTTTTACCTTACATAGTGGTTTAAAAGTTTCTCAGTTCTGTTGAAAAGAAAGCATGCTGCTTTTATTATGACTCTCTCTATATTTTTAGGGCTTTCATCTAGATTCATTGTTGTCATCAATGAAAGCAAAACCAGTGTCTTATTTCTCTTAAGCAATAAGTATTTTCCTTAAACGATAAAAAAAAGAAGTCATATTATCTGTGGATAGGACTAATTATACTGTTTACTAATTTCTGGCATGTCAATTGCTGCTAGAAGAGTTTAGTTGAAGAAGTCATCCCTGTGTATAGAACTAGCATGGAAGAGTTGTGAGTTCCAGCCCTAGGTCTGCCATTGCTCTTCCAGTCGATCCATCTCTAAAGTGAAGACTGCAGCACTTATTTCCCTCTATAAAACACATCTACTGGAGAGAAGCACTAGCCTTTGTTTAGTGGCATGCATGCTTATTGTGCTAGCTATTGCAGGATTTTGGCAAGAGTTCTTGTCTTATATGAGAATTTTGATAGGTGTTTTTGTATTTATCAGACAAACTAGTGTTCTTTGAGCTTTCTCCAAAAAACACCAATAAACCCTAAAGGAGATGCAAACCATTTTAGAAATGTCATATGTGTAAGATTTCTGTGAAACATACAGGAATTTGATCCTCTGTGTTTCCTTCAGCAATTTTTACCAGTAATCCATAGATTTCTATTGGTCTGTGAGCCATATTTATTTGTAAGCAAAGAATGTCTGATTTAGGTAATTTGTACCTATATTTGTCACTTGTGTTAAGTGTCATAAAGCTAGACAATATACAAAGTTGAAACCTTCAATTCAGTTTTTTCATTTCATTTTGTTTGCCTGTTGCACTGAGAGACCACAGCTGTATTCTAGTGTGTAATTTAATAAATTAGAAATTTAAGTGTTAAGAACATAGCCTTTGAAGTGCACAAAGCTAATATCACAAACTAAGTATCCAAATTAATCTGAGAATGTTTTTAATCTGAGGTGTGGGTGTGTAGGTATGAAAAACCATATGATCTCTCAGGGATATCTAAGAGAATCACCTTAGCTTATGAAATTATTTTTATGTCTCGAGTTTACAAAACAAAGTCAGTATGTTATAATATGTCCCATTAAAGAACAATTCTTCTGTTTAAGTTTGAAATACTTTTTTATACATTATTGATGTACACAGTTTCTTATGTACATATGCTATGTAAGTCATATACATGTTTTTCATTACAGGGTATACTTCAAGGCTGCAATCAAATGTGTGCAGGCTACCTCTTCCAGCCGGACAAACAGTATGATGTTTCCTATGACACTGGAGATAAGGCAATACAGTGTGGTAGACATGTGGATATTTTCAAATTCTGGTTGATGTGGAAAGCAAAGGTAAATAACAAAAGTTGATCTCAAAAACCAGAAATGTATTTATTTAATTTATAAGTCTCAAGTGGAGGTCACATTTAGTCACTTTTGTGGTATTGATTAACTGTATTTTTAAATTACAAGAAATAATACTGCTAAATGTTTTCTGACTGAAAGTATTTAAAAGTGAAGTCTATCTGAAAAGATGATTGCTTCAGAAGAGAAAAAATAACCATATGATTAATGCTTTCTTTCTTTTTTAAACAGGGTACAGTAGGATTCGAAAATCAGATCAACAAATGCCTGGAGCTGGCAGAATATCTCTACACTAAAATCAAAAACAGAGAAGAATTTGAGATGGTTTTTGAAGGGGAGGTAAGTTTTCTTTTATGTATGTAGGAAGCAAATCTGGATGGAATTTCAAAAACAGTCTTCACATTTCTCACAGTTCGTCAAGCCAGCTATGCAAAACTGCTTATTTCCTAAAGAACTATATGACTATTGGCATCTGGGCATTTTTTTGGCTAAATGCATGTGGTTTTGTACCACAAATGTCAGTTTTATCTTCTCTTCTTCTCTTCTGCAAAGAACTTCTCAGGTTAGGGCATGAAGTACCTTAATACAATCTACTCATGCTGAGATTCCACATTATTACATACATAACCGAGAATCTGCTCTTCTGCTGTATGTTCTGTTGCTAGTGCCACTGCATAAACCCTTGGTTGATAGAATATACTTCATCTCTACATTTGCTAAGAAAAGGAAAATTGAGTTGCTTCTGTTGTGATCCTGGAAAGTAGTTCCTCATGAAACTTCATGAAGGTGAAAAGCATTTGCACTTCATTAATGCCCTAAATATTGCAAGTAGGACAATGTATAGGGAATATAACACAACAGATGCAAGCAGCAGAACTGCAATCCATTTCTTTCAGTTTAACATGCAGAACTGAGAAAGTCAATACTATATTTTGTCTTTCATGCCTGTGCTAAAATACACTACTGAGGAGCCTTTAGCATGGGATTGACCTCTATTGTTGGGTTTTTTCCAATTGATCATGTGTTTGATTCTTTTTGCAGCCAGAGCATACAAATGTATGTTTTTGGTATATTCCTCCAAGTCTCAGGGGCGTGCCAGACTCTGATGAGAGAAGAGAAAAGTTACACAGGGTATGTGTCTTTTGCTAAATATAAAAATATAACCTAATCTTTCAACCCAAAGTAGTCTATTTATTAAAAATAATATATCTGTGTGTGGGCAAATATTACAAATGCTGAGATATCATTTCTCCATTGCTCATCATGACCTTGATATTTGCTCACTTCTGTCTCCTATTTATACTGAGGCTGAAGTCATGTTTTCTCTATAGAACCAGGTACAGAACATGCTCAGTTATTCTTTGATCTGTATCACTTCTGTGCTCGCAAGTGTTACAAATCTTCAAAAAGCAGCTAGGCCTAAAGACATTGCAGTCTTGTTTGGATAGGGCAGCATACCAGCAAGAGAAACAGAAGGGTACATATTTAAAAGTGCTTGGACAAGTAAAGCACATGGAAACCTGTATGTCCTCCTCAGGTCTTTATTTGGATTTTAAATGACAATGCATTAATGTGTTTCAGTGAAAATCAATACCCTTTGGAGGACCTTGTTATAAATGTGTTAGAAGAAGTGAAAGAGGGAAGCGAAGGCATCATAAAAGCATCACCAGGAAAAGTATCCTGTTACTTAGGACTTGAGGGAAGCAAAATACATTAATTCTGTAGTAGTATTTTAGACAGACAGAAGTGAAATGAAGTACATTCAGGAGACAAAAGAATAATTTTATAGGTATCAGAAGTAATTGCTCTTTTGTGTATGTGTTAGGGAAGAGAGAAAAATGGGCAAACTTGGGAGGTTTTGTAGAGGATTTTAAATCTGTACCACACTGGGGAAAGAGAACAGAAGAGAACAGAGATTCCTGGGTCAGCCCAATGGCATGTAAGATAAAAAAGTTGCCAAAAAAACCAGAGAATAGAGGAAGATTGAGGTAAAAGGTATGAAGTGGCAAGAGGGATAAAATGTTTTACTTGACCCTGTTAAGTGTTAGAGGACATCATAAAGTTTCCTACAAAACAGCAAAACAGCTGATCTTGGCTGGCAGAGAGTAGAGCAGGAGAAAGAAGGTCTGGATGGAAAAACTAGGCTTAGAAAATACCAAGTATTAAGACCGTCAGAACATTGTTCCTTGTAACCTAAAGCGAGGAAGTAAGATTGTGGTAAATGCAAAGTACTGCAAAACTACTGGAAGGTTTCCATGGCTTATGTTAGTAGAAAATATTCTTTATGATATAGATCTTGTTGAAAAATTTCTATTGTTGTCCCCTTCACACAAATTGCTTTGAGAATACTCATAATATCCATTACCTTCAAAAAGGTCTGGAGTAGGTTTTCATACAGAGGCAGAAAACATTTCTTCATAACAAAATCTTTAGCACAAAGAAACAATGTGTATATTTAATAGATAAAATTATTACATAGTGAATACTCTAAGATGTTATTAGTCTGTTAATCAAAAAGATGGATATAATTGTTGTCAATTTTCCTTTAAATATCCAATCCTACATATTTAGTTTATCAAGCTTCTTCTGTTACAGATGTTTTTAATAAAAATTAGTGCCTTTTTTGGCAGTCAATTTATTTTTTCTGAATTAAGAAATGCTGTGACATACAAAGAAAAAACAAATTTTTCTTTTTTCTTTCTCTCTTTTTTTTTTTTTCTCAATGATAAAGGTGGCACCGAAAATCAAGGCACTGATGATGGAGTCAGGTACTACCATGGTTGGATATCAGCCTCAGGGCGATAAAGTCAACTTCTTCCGAATGGTCATCTCCAACCCAGCAGCAACTAAGTCTGACATTGACTTCCTCATTGAGGAAATAGAGAGGTTGGGGCAGGAGCTGTAGTACAGTGGTTTAATTATTTATTTCTCTAATTCACTGTTTTCCAGCACTGGCTATTTTTTTAACCCAGTTCTGCAGAACATGTTTTAAGGAAATTCTCTTTCTGTAAATTCCAATCTCCTAAGACATACTTAAACGAAACAATAGGCTACTGAAATATATATGTATTGGTAGATCACATTACTGAGGGAAAATGTATTATCTTGAAGTTGAAGTACTATTGACTCTTACATTGGTCTTGTTTATTGTAGTCAGCAGGAAATTAATAAGTACTAAAATAGCAAACTAAGAACTCTGCACAGTATATATGTACAGTATAAATAAATATATATAATTATATATATACATACATATATAAAAAAAGTGGTTATAAGCTTAGATCTAAGCCACAGCATGTTTTCCACTTTAAGAGAATTAACTTTTCCTTCAACAACTATTTATGTGGATAATGTGCTACAAGTTTTTCTGCCAGACAGAAATAGACATATAGAAACATTTCTAAAATGTAGATTCTTAGGAGCTAAAGAAAATGTATAACAGTATTAAATCTTATTGTTGGTGCTTTTCTCACGTACAAAACAGCAATCTCTGACAGCACCTTTGAGTAAGATAGTTGTATTTGCCCTTTAGTGTCAAATCAGGGGATAATAGTAGCAGAGTCATTGTAACAGGTATATTATTGCTGTATTTTTAGAGGTCAATTTGTGTAGATTGTGTACATTATTGTTAAATGAATTTGTGTAAAAGGATTTAAATGTAATAGTTTTACAGCAAGATAACTGTTGAATTGTAGGTATCTGAAATATTTGCTTATTTATATGCAGAGATTTACCATGCTGAAAAGTTGTCTTGTATTTTCTTCCATTTGTAATGTAACCTATTTATATATTATTGAGGTTCTAAATAATGTTTATGGTATTTCAGTGTCTTTGTGAGCCAAAGAAAAAATACAAAAATATTAGTTGACACTCATTTAAATCCTAGTGCCCTTAAAATAATATCTTACAGATAATTTTACTGAAGATAAGGAATTCTGACATTGTGTATAGACTGTCAAATTATGAAATCCCTTTAATCTATTAGAAATATTAGAATTTTCAGTTTTATTTATTGTAATGTCAGTGTTCTGAATGCTTTTCTAGTGAATATTGGTTGCTAACCAAGGCCCCTGTTTTTGAGTTTTATTTCAGGACTGATCTCTATGACCATTTTAACTGAATTTGGTGGGACTTTTAGCCAGCATCATTCTTTTATTGAAATGGAATTTACTGTCTGTTTGGAACTTATAAGACCCAAAAATAATGTCAGTATCTTTGACTACAGCTAGCTTGTCCCAACATTTCCAATTGGCTAGGCTTTTCAAATTATAGAGACCAGATTCATCAGCAGCTTGTTCAATTTTAATCACTAGATAATCAATACTACCAAGTGGAAAAGTCCATACTGGAAGCAGAGTAATGGAACAAAATGGAGATTCAATAATTCTCTGTCTACTGAGTTACTGTCATGGTGATAAATGGAATATGCTAATTTCAAGTGTTTTCATACATGATTCTGTGGCTATCTTCTATGCAAGCCAGTAATTAATTGCTTTTTCTCCCACCCCTCCACCTCAGTAACAAAATTAAATTATTTTACTAATGTTCAATGAAATGCAGTCATGCTATGCAGTCTTCACAGCCTCTCTGGCCCCATCAGTCCTGTGGAAGGACAGCTACAGCCAGGAGAGATTTCCATCCTGCAGGTCCCACTGGTTGTCTTCTGAGGATCCTGTCTCGCGTTTTTGGCTGTGTTTGCACAGAGAGAAGCAGCTGTTATGGTAAATGCCGTATCGTATAGCACAGCCTTTCTAGCTTTTCATAGGGCTATTGCTTATTCCTCTTCCATAACCTTCTGCAAAATCTTTTCTTGAAATTGAGTTGAATCTAAAAATTATTATTAGTTTTTCACTGTCCTTTAGATTCATGAGTATGACTTTCAAAATAGTATCTACATTGTTCTTTTTATGTCATTGAACCCTAGTAACCTTACTGGTACAGTATTTCTTTCATTAGGTTATTTTCCTCAAGACAGTGTAGTTGGTCTCTTGCCTTCTTGATCGTAAACCTCAATATTCCTCAATTATAACCCTATTATCTGACCTCTGTATTCAATACTTAATATTTCTTGATGTAAGCATCCATGTTGCATGACCTGAGGCCTGCAGTACAGAAGTAGTCAGCAAGAACATCGACTTCAGCAGTTAGGAAACTTCCGTAATAGTAAATGCCATTCTTTATAGCTACCAGATATTCATCAAAACTAGACAATCTCTCATTATAGCTGTTTTTAGAGTACAGAAGAAATATATCACATTTTGATTTACAGACTTCTGCCTGAAATCTGGTCTCTGTCACAGTTTTATGTTGTTCAAAAGGCAGCTACAGAAGGCCTTGAACAGTTCTGTGACATAATCAGCAATAGATCTAGAGCTCTTCAGTACATATATAATGTTTTGCTCACTAAAATTTCTGCTTCTTCATTTAATGGAGTATTTTGTGTTTTGAAGGTCAAAAATCAGAGGTTCTACCTATTGCTCTTGATGGTTTGCAGCTAAGTGGGAATAATGGAGCTCCTCCTGCCTGTTTTGGAAGTGAGACAGTTAATGAAGGGGTATTTTCTCCAAAGACAGGGGACTTAAATTTATCTTCCTACTGTCTGCATTTTATCTTGCCTTTCTGCAGTGTTGTGTCCTGACACAGGTGACCACAATTAGATTTTTTGCAAAGCTTTTAATTCTAATATCAGATTCTGGAGAGTACCATGTTCCACAGGCACTGGGCTCATATTAATTAGTGACTTGGTGAGCTGATTTAGCAGAGCAGTTATAGTCAGTGAGAAAACTCATCTGTTTTCTTCTTAGTAGGTAATTTCCATCTGAGTAATATACCACAGCTTCTCAGACTAAAGTTTACCTGGAATTTTCCTGCTTTTTAATCCGTACACTATTGACCGTGAGAGATCAGGATGTATGGATATACAGAAGTATTGACTAATTCAAAGCATTGCAATTCCAGGTGAGTAACTTTGTTTTTCTGAGGTTTAAAATATACTCTAAGGTAGCAATTTTGTCTTTAAAAATCACATGGACATCACCATAAATTTGTGTGGGTGAATTCAGATCAAATAAACAATAGGCAAGATCTTAGCTGAACATGTAGCTGCAGTGCTTATTAACTCACATAATTTTTGAAAAGACTGACCATTGGATAAAAATGAACAGCAGCTGTTGATTTTGAATAAGAAAAGTTCTGATTGTGGAATTAAAGGTGGTTTTTAGAGAAGATAGTTAAATTATGTCATTCACAGCAGACTAACAGAACCAGGGGCCTTGGGAATAACCCAGGATTTTAAAATAATTGTTGACTTAGATCATACTCTGTTTTTTGAATGGTGACAAATATGAAGAGATTTTTTAAACAGAATCTCTGTTTTGTGGTTTAAGAAATGTTACAGTTATAAAGAAGTTATGCAATGCACTTTTAATTTTTCAATAAAAGTTGATCTTAAAACTGACTAATTTGTCTCATATAATTTTTGTGAGCTCTTTTGTTTCCTTAAGAATATGAGACAAAAGCCACACAACGTCATCCCTCACATTAAAGATAGTAAGGCAAATGCTTACTATTTAATTTTAATTGTGAATTGAATGTGAGCTTATACCAACACAGACTGAGGAAGAGCCACAAGCACAGAACCTTGGTCAGTTTGAACAGCACTATTGAGACATTAGTACTGTGTATAACATGAAAATGGTGATCAAAAATCTTGGATTCTAGACCATATTTGGGGTAACCTGCCATTCTCTTATGTGAGATAAAATATTTTTAATTATTTTTTTTTGTATACCAAATATATTGAAAAATAAGAGTACATTTTGAATTAATAAAATTATAATTGTTTTATTATATAGACAAATTCTGATTAATTGGTGCTTTATGCAGTATCCATAGAACTGTCATTGATTTTTACAGCATGTAACAAATTTGATTTTGATTGCTTTAGAGTAGGATGAGCATCCCTCCTGTAGCATGAGTTTTTTTAAGAAAATTTTTCTTTCCAAGTTAAAAATTTTAAGTAGCAAATGATTCATGAAGAAAATATATGCTGCAAAGAAACTTATTAAGTCAATTAGTGTAGCATGCAAATGGTATAATGTAAAGCACTAAAAATCGTGGAAGATGGTTGTGTTGTGTGAGCATTAAGGAATGTTCAGGTTATGCACAGACTGTTCAATGAAGTGGTAGGATCAAACAAGAGTTTTTGTAGTTAGGTACAGCTCACTATGGTCAACAGAATTACACCTGTCTGAATTTCTCCAGTAGGGTTTTATAACTTGCAAATTGTGACAATTATGCTTAGGGTGATGACACATGAATTGGGAGTACTGCTTGCTCAAGAACAGCAGCTAAGCTAGTGAAGAGATGAGAAGACACAAGCATTCCATGAAAGCAAAGGTTAAAAGGAAGGATGGCTGCACAATATGGAAGCATTTGTGTTTCCTTAGGTCATTTGAAAGAATCAGACTTCTGGACAAAGCAAAATTAAAATTTTGGTTAGAAGAGAAGATGCAAGCAGAAGTTTTTAAGTAGACCTGGTAAAGAAAGAAAAAAGTTTCGGTTCTCTGTTTTAATAGATCTATCTACTGAGGAAAAATGGTGCATTGTTCAGTAATGATGATAACAGAAAAGTCTGAAGATAAAGTATTACAGACCTTGATTTATTTCTGCTATTTATAAGGTAATCTGTTCAGCATCTGAATGTAATTATTTCAGATAAGTGTACTTTGTATGTGTATTTGTGAGTGTATTTATATTTCTTGATATGAGAAGAACATGTGTATGCATTTACATACTCAGCGTGTGTCAGATGTTTGCACGGTGTTGACTGTTTTGTGTACCTTTTTTCAGGACATCTGCAAAGATTCTTGAAATATAACATTAAACAACTATACGATGAAGAAAATAGTAAATTATTTTCCCTTACCTTTGAAAGTATGTGTGTGTGTTGTATATTTATATGAATGATTAAATCTCTGTCATGTGAAATCCTTAAATTATATACCTTTTAACAGGACAGCAGTCTGGTTTATTTAAGAACAATTGTTTGAGACAGGAACTACTCAAGAAAAAATTTGGCCTTGTTTTATGTGGAAAGGTGTTGTGTCATGACAGTGTGAGCAAAAAATATGTAAGATCAATGCAGGTGGTGGGAAATGGAGAAAAACTAAGTTTAACATCAATAAAGCTTAGAAAAAATGTCACTACAAGTAAAATCAACAAATGTAAATACAATTACTTTAATTTAGATGTACAGAAGCCTATCATCTGTGACCACAATGAAAGCTGTTTTGAAGTAGTGTCTGCTTGGTCTGACATCAAGAGTTTTGATTATGCTGGTGTATAAATCAAGCATATTGGCCTTCCAAAAAATAGAAACTCAAATGCTAGCTTTAAACTGGACAGGTGAAACTGTCTCTAAAAAAGCGAAGTGAGAAAAGGTATAAGACATTTCTCATTGTGTCATTTATATCACCTAAAGATTGCACATATTATAAATTACATTCACTGTTTAACATATTGCCTTATTAGGACTTTCCATGGGCCTCAGCAAAAAAGGTCGTTAATCTCAATTAAGCTTCTTTGTTTTCTTATGGGAAGCTTTCCTGCAGGGTAACACTTCCATTTGTTCTTGTGGGCATAGGGCCAGTCTTACCACTAGATTGTAAGTGATGAAGTCTTTATTTCCATTGCTTTGAAGTTTTCTACGGTTCCTTGTTGCACTGTCCAGCTACGAGCATCCCCTGAAGACGAGGCCCTTATTGACCGTCTCTTTCAGGTAATTCACTCTCCTGCCACATGCACAGCTCTGACAATCACTAAACACACTAACACACCTCTTGATTATCTAAAGGAGTGCAGCTTCACTGGGCAGCGGAGTGAGACCTCCATACGCTGGGTTTAACAGTGCTGAACCAAAGAACCACAGGTTTGATTACAGCAGGATTTCTCATTTCTGGGAAAAAAATGACTTTAACTAATTCATTGTAACTGCTGCCAGTAGGTATGTTGCTGCAATAACTTGGTGTGTTCACTTATCTCAGTCGCACTTCAAATGTATATTACTTTTACCTGACTATCTTATGTTTCAGGGGTATTATATTTCTTTATACTGTTTTGCATCATCATGGCTCTTCAATTATTCTACATATTTTTCAAGAAGAGGTGTGGGGGTTTTTTCACACTACAAAAGAATCAAGTTTAGTTTCCCTGCTGTAAACACTCCATATCAGTGAGTAGTTGTTGCTGTTTTTAGTCAGTCATAGCGAATGTAATTATTCTGTAGGCATAAATTAAATACCAGGTTTATCTTAACAGTATAATGCAATGCATATTCTCTTGTCTTTCCAAGCATCTTTTCCAAGCCTGTCTTTTTGCAAGATATGATGTGAAGTCCCAGATTGCTAATTGTGACCTGGCTCCCTGGCAGTGAGAACTGTAATTGCCATCAGACAGTTCCCTCTGCTTTCTGAAGTGAGTTCATGCAGACTGATTGCAGCATTAGAGCTTGTATTGCAGTTCAAAGGAAACCTAACAAAATTTTTTCCTTTTGAATACATCAACATTACTCTAAAGAAAGCTACTAGGCCAGTAATTGCTACAATTTTCCTTTCCCAAAAGCCTAGGGTTTTTTTTCCTCCCAGAAATTCTGTGACTGCAATGTAAATAATTATGCTTAGCTATTGTTGAATGACTTAAGAACTCATGTTAATTTTCTATATATAATGCTGCTATAATTGTACAATTACTGCTGTACTGGAAGCAGGCCAGAGGTGGAGTAGAGGTTCTCAGGGGAGTTTGAAGTCTCTCTCATTTACACTGTAGCTCAGACCAGAGCTGTTTCCATTAAGCTGGCAAAGTGGCCAAAAGAAAGAACTGAAATCACTGCATTATGTTATAGAGACTTGGTTGGATTCTCAGAAAAATGAACATGCCTTGAATTTACAACGGGAACACCTCTTCCCCTCATCTTTTAGCAAAGACATGTAATTAAAAGAGCTTTGATGAAAAGCCCTTACTTGGGACCATGTCCTCAGTTTATGCAGTGAACTACTAATTTGTCTTTCTACCTACCCAGATAATTTCTAAATGAGCATAATTCGTATACAAACATATATCTCTATGCTTGTGACAACTAATTATTCTTCAATTACAGGACATCCACAAAATTTTAGAAGTAAATAATGCTTTGTATATCCATCTTCCCAGCGTTGCATATTTCTCATCTTTCTAATGAATGGATCAATAGATCCTTTCAAACNAGAGTGTACAAGGAAAGTCTTCTGCTAGGCTACCAAACCAGTCTTTTACATCAATATTTGAATGGAAGAGTGGATTGTGAGGTTGTTCTAACACCCTGACTTTGCCAGGTTTCTGGGGTACAAATGAAAAGGGAAAGAGAGATAAAATGATCGGTGGTGGGACACGAAAGAAGAGTCACACAGGGCTAATTTCAAAATAGTAAAATTGTCCAGCAGGCAAAAAGCAAATGTACAGCACACATCTGGCTGAATAATTTACAAAGTAGTAAAACATCAGAAGAAGCTAAGAAATAATCTGACACCATGCAAGTGACACTCATTGCATGTAGTCTGAAATAGACACCAGAGTGTGTCATGTTGTAAGAATACATAGAAATGTATATGAATATTTACCTGTCCCTAGTTGCCTATTCATATAATTTTAAATGCACAAGATTTTTCTGGCAATATTTTTTCATTACATCCATAGGCACTAAAAACCTTTTTAAAAATTTACATCATTCAGCAAAGGATGCTAAGAGTAATTGTGTAGTGAGGTAAAGCTTTCTTCCACCTACTTGGTTTACTTATGTTTAGCTATCTTAAATCAGGCTAATTTTATAATAGGGTTGCTGTCTGTTGAATTATGTGTTGGTTTCCTAGGTTAAATAACATATGCTTCATTACTAAAATAATTCGCAACGGCAAAGGGCAAAGTTAAACAGTGAAAAATAGACTGTATAGAAGTAGACCCATAGAAGCAAGTAATGTGAGCTAACAGATTATTCTCTCTCTACTTGCTTTGAGTCTGATGTGCTCCCTGAAATGCAAATTCAGCAATCCGAGCAGCTGTTCACCAGTTACAACAAAGAATACCCAGGATTTAGAAAAATGGAGTCCTGTTTCCCTATTACACTATAAAATCAGGCTTTTTGCCAAATTGTGAATGAGAGATGTGATCTGGTAGGTTCTTGTCCACTAAAACCAAGGCACACTTTCACTAATTTTTTTAACAAATCAGTGACTGTTTGAAAAGCAGAATCCTCTCATGGAGGACTAGGTATATATCTCTGCATCAGACCAAACATCTTGATCTATAAGAAAAAAATAAAAAAAATATAAAATAATAGATCTAAAATATACGTATAAAAATACATAAAATGTTATAAATATTTTAACTGTCATTTGTTCTGCTTTCATTACACACTACACCCTA